CCACGCTTTTATAAATGGACTAAAAAGTAGAAAATAATATTTCTCAGTCCCACAGAATTTGATAACTTTTGATTTGGAAATTTTAGCAAAAGTCCTATATAAGTCATGAGAAACATGAAAAACAGCTTCTCATAAAAATACATTCGCCGTTCAGAGTCGGCGTAAAGCCTAAAATACAATAACGCAGTGGCAGTGGCAGTGACTGTTTTTATAAATCAACTGCTAATATTGGCAGTCACTGCCGTAGCAAACACAATACGGCGTTATCAGTGACTGCCTTTTTTGACATTCCCTTTTGTTTGTTTTTTGTTGTTGCCTTTTAGGCTTCAGTGACATCAGCAGATGTTGGACGCGTTTAATTTATGTTAAATTCAGCATGCGAAGTTTTCTGCGATGAAGGCAGTGGCAGTGAATTTAGAATTTGGGCTAAACTGAGCAGGACTGCTGGCTGCCACTGCTGTATTGTGAGTCGCTTCATTGGACATCACTCTTTCTAAAAAACAGCTGATTTCGAAAAACTGCCGCTGCCACTGCCACTGCGTTATTGTATTTTGGGCTTAAAACTGTTGGTCCCTCCCCTTATCCCAGCTGGTTCTGCCGTGGGCTCCTCCTTATATCTACTTCGTTTAACGGCCTCAGGTTTCCTTATTGGTCTTGAAGTAAGGTACCTCCTGTACTCCTCTACCTCGTCGTTGCACCAGTGACTTTCTTTCTCATCCGCCTGCATTCTTGGCCATTTGTTAAAGATATAGATAGCCCTGATGTACCTCGACTTGAGCGTCACCCCGTGGATTTTGTTTTCCTTCTTTCTTGCATCGGAGTGCTCCGTTGAGCTCCGGCCTCTTTTGCGGTCATGATGTCTTCCGAGACATCTCTACTCTCATCGATTTTTTTTTAATTTTGTTTTTGTTTTTATTCATTTTATTTTTTCCCCCATGAGTATGATCCGGTATACACTCAGAAAAAGGTTAAGTTATAACTACCAAGATTTGGTTATAGTGACCAAGTGGCATAGGTGGATATGGCGAAATAAGTATCTATTTTACGAAAGCCTGCAATTTACTTGAGACATCTAGTTGGGACAAATGTATATTTGTTAACAATTACAAAATGACTGCCTTGAGTGGACAATATTGTTAGTTGAATAAAATCATTGTTGAGCAAGTATAAACAATGCTTGGGTTGATACAAGTTTTCAATTTTGTGAACTTGCTGTAGACGTGAATCAGCTAAACGTTTATTATTGGAAAAAAAGTTTAAGTTTGACACAAATAAAAATTTACTCGATTGGTTGTTGTGATTACTTTCTTCTTTTATTTGCATATATTAAGCATAAAAAATACATACATATTTACATAAATAGTTACTAGTGTAAATAATACATTATTTTTTAGTAAGCTATTTACAAAATTCAAAACAAAAAGTTATTTTCCTTGACCATGAACATCTTTTAAATGGTTAGATTAACGAAAAGAGTATATGAGACCATTTTTGTAGAGCGTGCAATTTCTTATAAATATAGATGACGCAACTGGTTAAACGATCTATTGGTGATAAGATATGACCATTTTTATATGAGACTAAATTGAAAATGGAAAACTATGATGAGCATTATTTCCCGTTAATATCACTATGCGACAGTCAAAATCGGGATTGGATGAAACCAACGGGAAATGTTATATCGGTCAAAAACAAGTTATACGTGGCCCGGCGTTTCGCTCAACACCGAAACGCCGGGACACGTATAACTTCTTTTTTACCGATATAACTTTCCCAGGTAGTTTGAACCCTTCCCGATCACTGACCCCTACCATTTGTCTCACAGTGTATTAAGAGCTCAGATTTGGTAAGTACTTTCTAGAGGTACTTGGTTTTTTTTTTACCCACCCTAATGTATATGGTGGTAGGAATTTCCTAAAAATAAACGATGAAACATGAATAGTCGTGCGAAAACCCAGGTCAATATCTGCTGGTTTAAGTATACTGCGTTGCTTTTTCCTTGGCTAAAAAGATACTTTCAAATTATAATTCACATAAATTATATATCCACTGAGAAACCCCGGTTGGCATCAAACTTTATATTTTTAAATAACTATGCGCACACCGAAACAACTCGCGGCGATGGCAAAACTGAAACTGAGCCCAAGTCTGGGCATGTCATAGCACACACTTTTATTTCTTTACCTATCGCAGTGATCGACATGCCATAGCTTACTGAGCGCTCTGTGACCACAGGCGTGTTTCACCCACGGTGGAGAGAATACAGAGGTGGCGCCGATGACGATACCGCTACTCGGCTCTCAGTGATTTTGACAGAATCAGCTGTTTTGGTGACGTCATAGTAGAGAAGACAGCAGTAGTGATGTGCTGAGTCAATACTTTTAAGTACCCAATACTCTCGATACTCGGTACCGAAACATTTAGGTTTCGAATAAAAGCGCACATAGGCCAAAAATATGGAAAAAACGCCTAACAAAACCCGAATGTAAGAGCCAATAGAGCTTTTTTACTGATTCAAATGAAAGATGTATATATGTCGGTTCGATGCCATAATACAGAGAAACCCTTACTTGTTTGAAGCATTTTTGTTCCAGCTGAATCGGACGATATCATTTTTGTAGGCCTGGGACAGATTCTGTAACCAGTTAACGACAATTTTCGAATCGGTATCGGTTTTGTCGACGTTTGATATCAAATATTTGTAAGTCAACAAGTGCGATATCGATCCGAAACTTGTCGCTAACTGGCTACAGAATCTCTCCCCTGAAAGGCTTCTTCATCCGTCAAAGTATTTTTCTGGAACCTTGGACCGACTAAGGTTAAAACTGATAAAATAATATTTTTCTGTGGCGATAAGTTCAAGTATTTTAGCCGATATCATATAAATTAGTAATGAAAGTTTTTTCTAAACCTGAAATGCATATAATGGCGAGGGTTTAATGTAAATAATCGGTATCGGATACCGAAAAGGAAGTATAGGGTACCGAAATCTCTTTAAGTATTGGGTACCGAGTATTGGGGACAATTCAGCACATCACTAGTCGCCCTCATTCTCGCCGCTCTCAGTTGTCAACTCTACGATGACGTCACGCTAAAATTACTCTCACGAATTCTGCTGCAACCGGCGCAATCTTGTATTCTATCATTCTTGATTAAGCACTGCTAATACAGATAAGCTTTCTTTCAACACATGGTTTAGTTATAGTTACCAAATCTTAGTTGAGGCAACCACGATTTGTTTTGAGAGCGGAACATATTCATGCTTGTGAGCCACCCCTAAGTAATGCTCAGCGCTCTCTGAGCACATGTGTGTTTTACATACGAAGAGCGCCAGCTACGCAATGAATACAGTTCCACTTATTGAATCGTTTGAATGCGCCAGTATGCCGACCAGCGTTGCCATTTTAGCCGTTTTCCGGCTAGATTTAGCCGGTTTTGATAGCAACTAGCCGGAGAAAATTCGATCTAGCCGGCAGCCGATTTGTTAGCCGGTTTGTAAAAAAAAGTTAGCCGATTTTACTATTTGCCTAATTTTCAGGTGCAAAAAGTAAACTAGTTGTTCGAAAGCAATAATGCAGACCCAATGAAGATTTTTAATGAACTCAATGTTTTACTTTCGCATCTATGCTCACTAGTGGTTATTAGCGCGGACACATTTGATCCTATATGCTCCCCGTTGGAACCATACCTTGCTCCATTTCCTCAGTTTTATCACATTTTTGAAGAGTATTTAAAAACCAAAGTAAGCACAAAAGCTTTTGACCACGAAGCCGAGAAAATAATTCGAGAAAATGGTCGCTATTTTATTATCACTTTAATAAAGGAATTACGCCAACGCCTCCCTACAAATATTGCCACACTAAAAAATTGACTTTTTTCAGTTGGAAATGCATTAAGAGTAATTAAACCAAAAGTATTTGTTCAACTACAGCAACAAAAACACAAATATAATGCCGACGAAATAACATCCATAGAGATGCAATGGCGACGATTAACGTTACATACCTGGAGTAATTTAGACTCAACTGTAAAATTTTGGGCCGAAGTTTATCAATTTCGAAATGCCCTAGGAGAAAACCCTTTCGCTAACCTTTGCAACCTAGTTTTTAGTTTGCCTATAAGTAATGCAGAAGTAGAGCGAATATTTAGTTCAATGAATATAATAAAAACTAAGCAAAGAAATCCAATGTGCGTTAAAACGTTAAACGCTATTTTATATATAAGATACGGTTTAAAACGCGAAGAAAAATGCTGCCATAGTTTTACTGTAGATGACGATCTCTTAAAATTAATGAATTCAGGTGATATATACAATAGTGATTCATTTGATGATGAGGAATATACACTCGATATAAATTAATGGTGTTAACTAGTCTTTCGTTTCTTGCGATTTATTTAAATAAAGCATGTGAATTTTCACTAAAACATTTTAGCCGTTTTTTGCCAGAGTCTATGTGAAATTTCACTAAAACATTTTAGCCATTTTTAGCCGCTTTTTTTTGCCAATCTAGCCGGTCGGCCCAAAAAGTTCTGGCAACACTGATGCCGACCATTGCATAAAATTTTTATGATAAAAACGATTCAATGAATGAGACTAAGTGCATGGAAATCATTGCTCCGCTACCGCTGTTCATATATGGGTGAAACACAACCCAGTAAGAACACTATCTGTTAACTAATGCGTTATATACGCTTAGTACTACAAAAAGTTTGTGTGAAAAATTTAAAAACTTTCCATCATTTTACATAGGGCTCCTGGAGAAACCTCACGCATTCAGTGCTGTGCATGTGAGCATTTTTCCCTTTCTTGCGCACCACTTTTTACTATGGTATTTTCGTATTGCTATCTCATTCCAATCTGCTATAGCAAAGCGATATAAAACATGTTATTTACGGGAAGAAATTCCGTATTAGTATGGCATAATAATAACGTGTAAATAACATGTTTTATCCATTATACTGAAAAGCTATTATATTGCATAAATAAAAACACGGTTAAATATTTTAAAATAGATTTAAATAGTTTAATTAATTGAAGTTCAAAGGCTTTGTTAAACATTTAAACTTATAATTGAATTGTGTTATAAATTATTGGATGAAAATGAAATTTTGGGTTTATATCCCAACAAGCAAACTAAACTAAAAAGTATTATTTTTGCAAGTTTACTAAAATAAACATAAAGCTTAAGCAGCAATCACCTAATGTAAGATTTTCTAAGCGATTAAACTCTTTAAGCGATATTGAATCGCTTACAAAATCGCCTCACGTAAATGCTGCTTTACAAAACGATTATTCTTGGTTTTTAAAACGCATAAAAAAAGCGTAATATAATCGAAACGGCACCTTCTTTATAAGCGCGTGAATATAAATTTATAATAGATTAAATAAAAGTATTTCTTCTGGCTTTTATCGTAAACATTTGCAGCTTAGTTTTAAGGTTTAGTGATTTATAAATATTCCCCCAAACACTTATAATAGCTTCATTTGAAAAACTTAAAATAAACTTAATACTAAAAACGCTGTTAATATAGCAAGCTTGCTTTAAGATACTTTTAAAAATACAGAAATGCTTGTTGGGATGCTATACATAATATGTATATGCACTTATATCTACATACATACATTCTATATTTACATAAAGACTGGGATACTTAAGAATAAGTTTTAGAAATAGAATGCATAACATATTTGCGGCACCGCTGGAAAGTCTTTACCTATAGTGAAAAGAATAATTAATAAAGCAATGACTTACATTTACTCACATTTTACTCACTTTTAAATTAATTAAATATTGGCCTTGCTTCCTTGCAGCACCTTCCTTTGCCGAAATCTGTTATGGCTGAGCTCCACGCTTTTCCTCAAGTTTTTCTCAAAATTAAGGCGCCCTTCTGATTTAAATACTTCTGTATAGAATTATTGAAACAGAATGGATTTTAATAAATATTTGATTGAATAAAATAACGACATTAATTCCAAGATTGTACGGATACTGATTATGCTAAATTTAAATAAGTCTAACTTAAATTAATCAAATTCAAAACAAAATCAATTAGGTCGAATTGTGTTAAAAACAGACCTAAATTGAATAGCGGCACAATCCTATATTTAGCAAAATAACTAACAAAACTACTGGATATTTCATTAGTATTACCAAATAATAAATCGTTTATCAGCGTTAATTTATTCAGGGCTTTTTTGTTTTTCCTTCCGTCGTAGTTAAAAACGATAAGAAGGTCGTCCGTCAAAAGTTTTTTGAAAACAGCATCAACGGATCCTTTCGTTCCTTTAAGCTTAAATAAATAAATTTTCTGTGAAGTATACAATATTAAATTTATGTAAGTACTTTAAAATTTTTGTAGCTAAATAATTTTACCATAGCTTCCACATATTTTGCATTTTTTAAATTTTCTTCGACATCATGGGCAGCGTCGATGCTAGAAATTGGCAATGTAGCCGCAATTTCTACCTGGAGCTCATCCTCAATCTCCCCTGTCAATCGGCATACTGAGCGATGAACTTTGGATAACATCACCTTGCACTCTCTAATTGTTTGATTTTGAGCCATTATAACACCGTCATCTAGCATCTGTGTAAATAAAAGGACTATTAGTGGAAGCATGAAAGGTTAAGCATGAAAGGTTATTTGTGAGTTATATTG